ACTACTTCGGCCACAGTTCGCTCGCGACCAAGTCAGCGACTTGGACCTTGAGGAAGAACATATGAAGAACATGATGCGCGTACTGCCTACCAACTCAGACGGCTGGACAGATGTCACAGACCTAAAGCCGCTCTTCTTCCGCCTGACGCTCGACAGCGCCACAGAGTTCCTCTTTGGCGAGAGCGTTGACTCTCAGCTCGCATCACTACCCGACTACAAGTCTAGTAAGCCCCCAATGGCTGTTAACGAGCAAGACTTTGCCACGTCCTTCGACCAGGCGCAGAACACCATTGCCCAAGCTAGCCGCCTTGGAGAGGCCTACTGGCTCGTATACGACAAGACGTTCAAAGACCACTGCAAACGCTGCCACGAGTTCATTGACCACTACGTCCAACTCGCATTGTCAAAGGAGAAGGGTACTATCCAGGAGAAGTCGCATGGCAAGCAAAAATACGTCTTCCTTGATGGACTTGCGGAATCTACCCGCAACCCCATCGAGCTTCGCGAACACCTGATATCAATTCTACTAGCCGGTCGCGACACCACGGCATCGCTACTGTCGTACGTTTTCATGCTCCTTTCAGAGCACCCAGAAGTCTACAACGCCCTACGCAGCGTTGTGTTGGAGACTTTCGGCACCTATTCGAACCCCAAGAACATTACTTTCGAGTCGCTGAAGTCTTGCAACTATTTGCAGTGGGTTTTGAACGAGACTCTGCGTCTTTACCCTGTCGTCCCTGTTGATGGTCGCCGTGCCCTCAAGGATTCTACCCTTCCCGTGGGCGGTGGTCCAGATGGCACAGCACCTCTCTACGTCAAGAAGGGCATGCAAATAGACTACAGTGTATACATCATGCACCGTCGTGCTGATCTTTGGGGTCCCGACGCTGAAGAATTCCGACCTGAGCGCTGGAACGGAAGGAAGAGTGGGTGGGAGTATCTTCCTTTCAACGGCGGCCCAAGAATCTGCATCGGGCAGCAGTTTGCCCTGACAGAAGCTGGGTATGTAGTTGTAAGGTTGATGCAGAGGTTTGAGGCGATTGAGGGTGTTGGTAATACTTGGGAGCCGAAGGAGAAGGGTGGTATGGGTTATGTCAGGAATGGGCTCAGCTTGACGACATGTCCCGCGGATGGTGTTAAGCTGAGGTTGAAGGAAGCCAAGGAGTAAGCTGGTTGTAGATGAATTATTGGATCATGATCATAAGCTGTTATCTTCCATACCTCTATTGAATGATGCGACGAGATGGTACCAAGTATCTCGACATTACGGCGGTTGAACTTGTGTATTGCCCGATTGGCTGAACACTGTGCCCACCCTCGTCATTGTATCATCCGATGTCAAAAGCATCGCGTCCGTGATAGTAATTCTAAGTCGAAGCGTGCAGCTGCAAAGTGTGGCCAATCCCCCAAACTGTCCACGGGTGGCGCTGCGCTAGGACCGACGGGCGAGGCAAGGATCCGTCGGCGGGACATTTCCAAACTTTTGATGCACTCCAACATCTTCGAAACCAACACGCACCACATCGCCCAATATGCGGAGAGCGCGTGGACTTCGGGTGAGGAAAAGCAAAGCCGATTACTAACAGAAGTACCATGACTGACAATGGCAGGCTTCATCAACCCGCGACGTTTGCATCTTTTGCGCCACTCGTCAATTGGCTATCTCGAATACGCTCGCTGCATCGTCGGACGCTACACAGCGACGACAACTCAACTCGTCGAGCAGAGCCCCGCAGTCGGCCGAGGCCATCCTATACAAAGATGCCAATGAGCGCAAGGAGCCAATGTCGCAGGCACAGCGCATGCGGCAGGCGCTGGCCGCCAGCGCCCCTCAGCCGCAGCAAGGAGGATTCATGTCGCCTGCAGATAGGATGAGAGCATCATTAGCAGCACAAGCGCCGCCGCCTCAATCCCAGGCGTCACGGCAATTCCCACCAGAGCGCCGCGCAATGAACAGAGGCGGTCCTTTCGATGGGCCAGGGCGGAACCAGAGCAGAGACCGATTTGCACCTGGTGTACGGAGGACGACCGGCAACGAGCGTGGCAATGACCATCGACCACCGCCCCAGAATCGCTATACCGTCAATATGGATTCGAGACCACAGGTCAACACCCCGGCATTTGGCTCCGGTCACCTCAGACGACGAAACGACCCACAGCCCGAACGCTCCCCGTTCGGATTAGACGACCGAAGATCACCGCAGGCTCCCAGACCTGCACCGCAAAGAAAGATGCTGGATCAAGATGAGATATCAAAGCTGTTGGGTAACGCGGCCTCAAACTCCTCGAAGCCCTACACACCACTTGCAAGGGACATGAACGCGCAGAGGACATGTTTCCACTGTGGATCGAAGGAGCACGCGAGCAATATGTGCCCATCGAAGCCGGTGCTCCGCGAGCCTCAACGGCAGGAACAACCAGCACAGAAAACGGCCATGTATACACCGCCGCAACGTTACAAGGAATCAATATCGGATGCTGCAGAAGCCTGGGCGCAGAAGTCGAAGGGCAATATGGACATCGAACAGTCGGCAAGATGGCAGATAGAAGAGGATAGCAGGCGACGCAATGACGTGGACAGCGAGAGAAGGCGAAGTCGCTTTGCCTTTGACGAGCCGGACGAGTCCAAGAACCGATACGAAGAGCCCGCGCGAAGGCAGGGCGGAAACAAGGGCAGGAGCCGACGCATACAACGGGACGAGGAGGAGGATGAAGACCGGCCACACGTCAGCAAGCAAGAACGCAAGCGGTTACGGGCTGAGGCGAAGAAGGCAGCGCAGTCGGCAAAGGCCGGTCCTACACCGATCTCATTACCAGAGTACATCAGCGTGGCCAACCTTGCGGGTGCTCTTAGGTTGAGAGTAGAGGACTTTGTGCGAAAGTTGGAAGAGCTAGGGTTTGAGGATGTACAGAATGATCACATTTTGAACTCGGAGCATGCTGGCCTTATCGCGCAGGAGTACAACTTTGAACCGATCTTCCAGGCACAGGAAGACGATGGGGACCTCTATCCCGCAGCACCTCTTGAGCCTGAGGCCTACGCCGAGCTTCCTGCACGACCACCCGTTGTCACGATCATGGGTCATGTTGATCACGGCAAGACGACTATCCTCGACTATATGCGCTCGACTAGTGTGGCGGCTACCGAGTTTGGTGGCATCACACAGCACATTGGTGCGTTCAGTGTGCCACTCGCAAACGGAAAGAAGATCACGTTCCTTGACACCCCCGGTCATTCTGCATTCGAGACGATGCGCGCTCGTGGAGCCAACGTTACCGACATCGTTGTCTTGGTCGTTGCTGCGGATGATTCTGTCATGCCCCAGACCGTCGAGGCTATCAAGCACGCGCAAGCGGCGAATGTCCCCATGATTGTCGCCATCAACAAGATCGACAAGGCGCAAGCTGACCCAGATGCTGTCAAGCTTGATCTCGGCCGCCACGGTATCGAGATTGAGGACTTTGGAGGTGACATCCAGGCTGTCTGCGTTAGTGGAAAGACAGGACAGGGTATTGCCGACCTGGAGGAAGCCATTTCAACATTGTCGGAGATGTTGGATCACCGCGCTGATCCTGCTACCTCCGTCGAAGGATGGGTTCTTGAGGGTACCACCAAGAAATCTGGACGCGTCGCTACCGTCCTAGTCCGAAGCGGTACCCTTCGCCAAGGAACAACGCTTGTCGCAGGAACTACCTGGACACGCGTGCGTACTCTACGCAACGAGGCTGGTGCTGTCGTCAAGGAAGTCGGGCCTGGCATGGCTGTTGAGATCGACGGCTGGCGTGATCAACCCATCGCTGGCGACGAAGTGCTACAAGCACAAGATGAACAGCACGCGAGCTCGGTGACCGATCTTCGTAGCGAGAAGGTCGACAGAGAGCAGATGGCGCGCGACATGGAAGCCATCAACGAGTCTCGCCGCCTAGAGGCCGAGCGTCGTGCGGCCGAAGAAGCAGCTGCCAAGGCTCTCGAGAATGGCGAGGAAGCTGAAGTCGCTGAGGAGAAAGAGGCTGGTCCGGAGGTCGTCTCCTTCATTATCAAGGGAGACGTATCTGGCTCTGTTGAAGCAGTCATCGACTCTGTCTCCGCACTCGGAAACACAGAGGTGTCTACGCGCATCCTCCGCCACGGTGTTGGCGCACCCTCCGAATTCGACATCTCGCACGCCGCCGACGCAAAGGGACATATTGTCAACTTCAACACCACGATTCCTGGACATGTTGCCAAACTAGCAGAAGAGAAAGGCGTCAGGATTCTTGACAGCAACATCATCTACCGCGTAGTCGAAAACGTCAAGGACTTGCTATCCGAGAAGCTCGCACCAAAGGTCATCCAAAAGGTGACGGGTGAAGTGGAGATCGCAGCTGTCTTTGAGATTGGCCTCGGTGGTAGGAAGAAGATGAAGGTCGCAGGAAGTAAAGTCAGGAACGGTGTTGTTGATAGGGGTTCCAAGGCTAGGGTACTCCGTAGCGACAAGATTGTCCATGATGGTGGGTCATTCCTCACTCGGGTTGCAGTTGAAACATATGCTAACACAAATTATTAGGCGTGATCGAGTCGCTCAAGAACCAGAAGAAAGACGTCGAGCAGATGCGCAAGGATACCGAGTGCGGTATTTCGTTTGAAGGCTGGGAGGACTTCAAGGTGGGTGATCGCATTCAGTGTTACGAAGAGAAGTTTGAGAAGAGGAACTTGTAAGATAGTGTATACTATGTACATAGAGTAACGTGGGGTGGTTTGGGTTGAGGGTTTGATAACTACCCTTCTTCGTGTATATATGTAGATGTGTGGATATGTAACTATCAATTATCCCAATCACGCAAGATACGAGTATGGTGTAGGGATTGGTCTGCCACTACCCACGCTTGTGACCTGGATATTATCACTGAAAACCGTATTCGAGGTACTCTAATGCATTCGTCATTATCCTACGCCTTGTTGTACTATGACGCCCTGACACTTTCTGTTGCAGATATGCAACCTTTTATACTCTGGCCTCTTAATGTTCTCCAACGTGTTTCCGTAGCTTGGCCCCCGTCCATAATACCGGTGCAAAGTGTGTCGACATGTTGAAGCTGAACAGCGACACAAACCACAGTATGGCCATAACGGCGACTGGAACGAGTAGGAGCTCAGTGTGGTGGAGGAAGGGCAGTTCCTTGTAGCCCAAGAAGGTGATGATGAAGTAGTAGTTCAATGCGGCGAGGTAGAGTGTGTTTGAAAGGAGTAGCGAAAACCTAGGCAAGTCAGCGCATATCTTGATTCCTTGGGTTTAAAGTTTAAGACTTACCAATGGTGTGTGCCTATCAGTGGCATGCACAGGAATTGAACAACGTAGAGGAACACCCAGACCGGAACAAAGGCCCGAATGGCAACATCCCAACAGTATCCAAACTCGAGCTCTTCCTTGCCCGAGTCTTCTCCTAAGTTGTACAGTCCTCTCCTTCGTCCAGGTAGCAGTGTGTTGTCTGGGCCTAATAATCTGCCGACTAGAAAGAAGAACAGTGTCGCTATCAATAGCGAAAGCAGCAAGAAGTGCCCGAATATGAAGACCATGGTTATGTGGAGGGTCTGTGTAAAGCCATCTGCGTATGCGAAGCCCCATGCAAGTGATGTGAGAGTCAGGAAGAAGGAGAGTAGGTATGTAAACGACGGGTCGGGGCGGTGGTATGTCTTGGTGGTTTGTTTCCACGCGCTGTTAATTACATATCCTCACACAGAGACCAGGAATACATACATGGTAGTATATCTGTCGAAACACCTTCTTGGGTGCTATTATCAGGCTCATGATCTCCCATATGGCCATTTCAAAGTCCATCTGGGGGAATTTGAACATGCGCTTGAAGAAGCGCGGCATCTTGACCTCATTCCGCCGTGTCGATGGGGTCGAGCCAAAGTTTGAAGGTCCGCCCGTCGGCCTTGGGAGTGATATGTGCGGGTTCATGTTAGGCGTGCTTTGTGAGGTGGCCGTCTATAGGCAGCTGTTGAGTGAAGGCGCGACGCCGGAAATGGAGATACTCGAATGCGCGTCAGGTATTGGTGTCACCGCGAGTCCCAGACTTCCATTGTTGGAGGGGCGCGTCAATCGTCCAGTGGTTCGGTGAATGGTGGCTATGTGTTCGGTACCTGAGCGATGACGCCGCCGTCTGAGCTAGCGCCAAGAACGAGGCTGACAGGCTCCGCCGAGAGCAAGCCCGCAACGCCGACTCGCAACCTTTGCTCCTCTCACGACAACGCGCCCACCCACCTCAACCACGGCGAACGGCGCATCATCTCCACCCCCGCGCGCATCTTGGAACATATCGGCGCGACCTTTGCACCTGCCCGACGCATCGTGGAGACCTGCATCGCGCCTCCCGCTTTCGCGCGCACCTCTCGACGCTCCTTCTAGACACTAACCACGCGACAAAGACATCCATTGTCCACAACACTCCCGCGCCTGAGCATATCGTAATACAACGCCCAACATTACTTTGCGATCAATTCTGACAGCCCACCACAGCTCTCACGCACCCACAGCTATGGCGGACGACGCTGAGCTCGCCTTCCTCGAGGCGCAAAAGGACGAATACGACCCTTCAGCCGGTTACACCATGCCCGACGCTGCCGCTGGACAGGACGAGTACGACCCCGCCGCCACATACTCGCCGCAGTCCTACCAGTCGGCATCGATGCAGCCAGAGTCTGGCGCAAACTCACCACCGGCCGCCGACGCCGAGGGCGAGAATGGGGTGCAGCCTCAGCCTACTCAGACCTCCACAGAAGGCTCCGCAGCGCCGCCGTCTAAGCGACCGCGCACTGTGGGTGGTTTTGTCGACGAGAGTGAGGACGAGGAAGAGGAGCCCGCTGTGCAGCCGCAAGAGGCGAATGCTACACTGAGTGCTACTGGAGCTTCAGAGACTCCCCAGCCATCTTTTACAAACTCTCCAAACAATACACTCCCAAACCCAGATGTACAGTTACATAGTGCACAAGATCAGGCTCCCGCTTCCATCTCTGCTTCTGTCGCTGTCAATGAGCCTGCTCCCTCTGTTGCTTCTCTTCCTAACGGCAGTACGCCTGTTGCAGACGCTACTAAGCCAGGTGCTCCCGACGTCATGACTGCTGCTTCGGCACGCCCGTCTGTAGCCCCAGCTACTCCAGCTCCTATGTCTGCTTCTCTACCAAAGGCTCGTCTTCCTCAGGACCGAGTGGGTATTCTCGAAGATCGCATTGCTGAAGATCCGCGTGGTGACATCGAAGCGTGGTTGAGTCTAATTGAGGAGCACCGTAGGCGACACAAGCATGACGACGCACGAGCTGTCTTTGAGCGCTTCTTCAAGATCTTCCCTTCATCAGTAAGCAGGACTGGCGATATCTCATGTGATGTACTAACATGTCTAGGGCGAGCAATGGGTCGAGTACATTGCCTTTGAGACGGAGCTTGACGAGCTGCCAAGGGTCGAACACCTCTTCGGTCGCTCTATTCCTTCAGCCCAATGGCTTGGCATCTACTCTGCTTACATCGACTTCATCCGTCGCCGCTTCAACCTTACCACTGACCAAAATGGACAGAACCGCCAGACCGTCACACAAGCTTACGAGTTCGTCCTTACTTCAGTCGGTCTGGATGTTCACGCTGGAAAGCTTTGGCTTGACTACATCGAGATGCTCAAATCTGGGCCTGGTGTTCTCGGTGGCAGCAGCTGGCAGGACATGCAGAAGATGGATACTCTGCGCAAGGTATACCAACGCGCTGTTTCAGTACCACACAACGCGACCCTAGAGATCTGGCGAGACTACGACAGGTTCGAGACGAGTCTGAACAAGGTTACAGTAAGCCTCAGTGCATTCAGTTCCTTGTATTTACGAGGCTAACATCGACGACAGGGCCGTAAACAACTCCAAGAAACCTCGCCTGCCTATATGACTGCACGCAGCGCCATCAACGTCCTCGACAACAACATCACAAGGGGCGTCAACCGAACTACACTACCCAAGCTGCCACCCGCCGCCGGCTTCGATGGCTACGAGGAGTACATGAACCAAGTGAAGCTATGGAAGAACTGGATCCAGTGGGAGAAGAGCGATCCGCTTGAGTGTGCTACAGACAACCGGGAGTTGTACAATAAGCGTGTACTCCACCTGTACAAGAATGCGCTCATGGCCCTCCGCTTCTGGCCAGAACTGTGGTACGAAGCAGCTGAGTGGTGTTACGAGAACAACATTCAGGCTGAAGGCGACAAATTCCTTAACGACGGCATCGATGCGAACCCTGAGAGCTGTCTCCTAGCCTTCAAGAAGGCCAACCAGGTCGAGCAACGCACCGATTTCGAGGATGGCCAAGCAGGTATTGTTGCCAAGGGCAAGGCTGTACGAGAGCCATACCAGAGGCTGCTCGACACCATCTACGATCTCACAGCACAAGTCAAGAAGCGAGAGGAACACTCCATCTCCCGTGCGAAAGAGCAGTTCGAGGCACAGAAGGCTGCCGACGAAGCAGCCCGCGCAATCGCACAACAGAACGAGGATGCTGACGACGAGGACGAAGTCGTTGCTGCGCGTCGCTTGAAGGAGAAAGAGGACGCTTTCGCCCTTCAACTCCAGGCCATGTCCGCCGGGTACAATGCGCAAACACAAAACCTTAAGAAGACACTCACGTACACATGGATAGCTCTCATGCGGGCTATGCGCCGTGTTCAGGGCAAAGGAGATCCCAGGGGCGAGATTGGTGGCTTCCGTGGCATCTTCACCGAGGCTCGCAAGAAGGGCAAGCTGCTGAGTGAAGCCTACGTCGCCAGTGCGCTCATTGAGCATCACTGCTACCAGGAACCAGCCGCACAGAAGATTTTTGAGCGGGGTATGAAGCTGTTCCCCGAGGATGAGCAATTCGCATTGGAGTACATCAAGCATCTCATCAAGCTCAATGACTCCACCAGTAAGTGACAAGGTCCACGCATAAGGTCTCCTACTAACTTCTTCAGATGCTCGTGCCGTCTTCGAGACAGTCGTTGGGAAGCTCACGGCTAAGCCTGAGACCGTTCACAGGGCTAAATCGCTTTTCGCATTCTTCCATGATTACGAAGCCCAGTTCGGCGAGCTGGCCCAGATCACGAAGCTAGAGCAGCGCATGGCGACTCTCTTCCCTGAAGATCCTCAGCTGCACCGCTTCTCGCAGCGCTTCGCGACCCAGACCTTCGACCCGATCTCCGTCCGTCACATCATCTCGCCTCGCACACAGATGAAGCCCGTCATGCCAGCGACCATGCCATCGGTTATGCCCTCCATCGAAGAGCAGCAGCAACAGCAGCAGCAACCGATGCCTGCGCTACCACCCCAGATCGTAGCCGAACAACAGCGCCTCGCGTCTCCCGGCATTGCGAACTCCCCACACCTCGGAAACCTCATGCCCGTCACGAACTCACCAAAGCGCCCTCTCGATGACGCGGACGACGGTGGACAGCCTCGCAAGCTCGTTAGGGGCGAATCACCTCTCAAGGGCGCAGCAGGTCGCCGTCTCGATGCTGCACGCCGCAACCTAGCCACCACTGGTGCGACACCCGTTGGCCAGGCTCCCGGTCCGCCACCTCTGCCTCGTGGGGTCAACTTCCTCCTCGGCATCATTCCCCCTGCAAGCACATACAAAGAGACGCGCTTCAAGGCTGATGGTTTGGTGGCTCTGCTGCGAAGCGTTGATGCCATCCCCGTTCCACCGGGCCAGGGTCCTCCGCAGCCACAGCGCTGGGGCACCACCCCGACAACAGCGCAGCAGCTGCAGAGCATACAAGAGAAATACGGCAATGGTGGACACATGCCCATGCACCCAGCTATGGCGGGCGCAAACGCTTGGGGGCCTTAGGAAAGGTATCCAACGTTCATCTTACTGGAGCTTGTGCGCCGGCATTACCGCGTTTGAGCAAGAAAGAGTCGGATTATCTTCACTCGAAAAATGGTTGTCTAGACCAAGAACATTGCATGGATTGGCGTTTATTCTTCTCTACTCATTTGTACGGGCTCGATCACCAAAACATCCGGATACTGAGAGCGTAGGGAAGGGAGGGGGCCGCCTGGGGTATCGTTAATGGAATAATGGAGGTTTGGCTTGGCTTTTGCCAGCCTATATGTGTGAGCGAGGCGTTGGGTTCTTGATTGCGCCTTTGAGTGGTGGCATTTTCATCGAAGTCTTTGTGGAAGGACTTGTAGTCTCTTTCTTAGATGTCCTTAATGGATAAGATGGTTCATCTATCCTCCTTTGGTTGTGATGTGATGCTATTCGAGTGACGAAGGTTCATGAGCTAGCTCTTCCTGGATAGAAAGGAGGAAGATCATCTAAATTGATGTCTTATTCATGCGTCACACATGTTATCTATCTATTTACTACTACGTGAATCTCTTTCCCAGTTCTATGTTGCTGATCATGTCCCTTCGCAGCCCGCATACAATGCACGGCACGACACCACGCATGCATCGGTGTCATGGCTCACTGCCCCACTCGATGTCATCGGGCTAGCCACCGAACTAGCAACGTCGCGCCTTCCTGTCCGACATGCTTCCTTCCTTCTACGCCACACATATTAGAGGTTTAGACTGGATTTCCGGGTCTTGTCGCTCATGAAGCCTATTCGCTTCGTCTCAGGGGTTGTAGAGAATCCCTCCTCCAGAATCGCTGTCGGGGTTTCGACCATCTCAAACATAGATTGTAACTCGCGCCGAAGAATCTGCTCAAAGAAAAGCACCCGACACTTCGATATGCCCAGTCAGGTTCTTGCGTCAGTCAGCGAGCGTTGGAAGCTGTTCAGGTTGGTCCGGGGTTATGGACGGGTTGGTATCCATCAGTGTCCTTTGGTCACATGGGAAATGCTTCATGCTTCTTTGAAGGGCCCAGTATCTGAATGTACTCATTGGATTCTCATTGTCATGATCAACTTTAGAGGTCTCACACTTCCAAGCAAAGATCATCTTGGT